GTGGCCAACTCTTTAAGTACTGCCCCGATGTATTTATCTGCTTCATTCATTCCCCGCCTTTCTCCCCTGTGGGGACCTGAAGAAGCTTACATCCTCCTCCTTTCTTCCATTTTACCCTCACAAAACCCTGTGAGGTAGAAGGAGAGGTTTTTATACCCTGCTTTTCTCTACCTTAAGGAGTCTCAAAGCAGCTTACAATCGCCTTTCCCTTCCTTTCCCCACAACAGGCACCTTGTGAGGTGGGTGGGGCTGAGAGCTGAGAGAACCATGACTGGCCCAAGGTCACCCAGCTGGCCTCATGTGCAGGTGGGGGGAATCAAACCCAGTTCTCCAGGTTCAAGTCCAGCGCTCTTAATCACTGCACCACACTGGCTCAGTTAGGCTGAGTGTAGGTAACAGGAAAAAAGAGCCAGAGTCCTGGAGCATACCTTAAAGACTAACAAAATTTGTGGCAGGGGGAGGAGCTTTCGTGGGTCCCTGCTCCCTTCTTCAGACAGAGGAATCAGAACGAGAAGGGGAGGGGCATTAGATGGCAGCAAGTGGGGGCAGGTAGGGGACTCAGCCTCAGACAGTAAAGACTAACAAAATTTGTGGCAGGGGGAGGAGCTTTCGTGGGTCCCTGCTCCCTTCTTCAGACAGGGGAATCAGAACGAGAAGGGAAGGGGCATTAGATGCTCTGTCTCGCCTATGGTGGCAGCAAGCGGGGGCAGGAAGGGGACTCAGCCTCAGACAGCGCCCGTTGTCACATTGCCCCACGCAGTAAGGTGTCTAAAGATGGGAGCGGTGAGTCCTGGAAGTTCCTTCCCTGCCACAAACACTGTTAGTCTTTACAGTGCTCCTGGACTCTGGCTCTTGTCCACTGCTACAGACAGACTCACATGGCTCCCCGTCTCAATGTGTGTGGCGGAGAGGCAGATGAGGCTGAGCGGGTGCGACTGGTCCCAGGTTCCAGCAGCAGAGGGGAGGTTCAATTCCCAGGTCCCCAGATCGACACTCTAACCAGCGCACCACATTGGCCAGAGCACCTGACGCTCCTTCCTTTCCTTGCGCCCAAGGGGTCTTTAAACAGTGTGGCAGCAACCTGCGCGTGGCCCATCTCATTCCCAAACCCTCATGAGAATTCAAGAAGGCCTAGTGGCCGTGTGCAGCATATCCTACTATGCTGAAAGGTCCTTGGGGAGCGAGAAGGGAAGGAACATTAGATACTCTGTGTTCTCTTACAGTGGCAGCAAGCGGGGGCAGGTAGGGGACTCAGCATCAGACAGCACTGGTTGCTGCACTGCCCCATGCAATAAGCTTTGGAAGGCCTTTCTGTAATAAAATGGGTTGTACTCTTTGGTGTAGTGGTTAAGTGCGTGGACTCTAATCTGGGACAACTGGGTTTGATTCCTCACTCCTCCACATGCAGCTGGTGGTATGACCTTGGGTCAGTTACAAGTTCTCTCAGAGCTGTTATCTCATGAGCAGTTCTCTCAGAGCTCTCTCAGCCCCACCTTCCTCACAGGGTGTCTGTCGTGGGGAGGGGAAGGAAAAGGAGACTGTAAGCCACTCTGAGACTCCTTCGGGTAGTGAAGGGTGGGGTATAAATCCAATATCCAAAGGCAAAGCCAATGCACAGTGCCCTGGGAGGAAATCCCAGTCTGGGACAAGCTGTAGTCACTCAGTTGTGAGGGAAAGGCACTTTGTACACACTCAGAGGTTCTGTACTACTATATGTCTGTTTCTGATGACCACAGGTAGGAGAACATGAGAAAAGGAGCCCAGCGCTCTTCAGTAACTCCAGCATCACACATCGAGAATGGAGAAAGAACACATTTCTGGTTCAAGGGTGTGCGTGAGCTGTGGCACCTCTTGTTTTTGAGTTCTAGAATTGCTGGATAACATCTGTCAGGCCAGGGCATCGCTCTTGGTCACGATTTGGTGCCAGACACCTAGCAGTTACCTGCCCATCGGCAAAAGAAACTTTTGCTTTTGCCGTCAAGTCACAGCTGACTTACGGCGACCCATGGTGGGGTTTTCAAGACAAGAGATGTTTAGAGGTGGTTTGCCATTGTCTGCCTCTGTGCAGCAACCCTGGACTTCCTTGGTGGTCTCCCCTCCAAATACTAACCAGGGCCGACCCTGCTCAGCTTCCAAGATTTGACAAGTCTCCGGCTAGCCAAGGCCACCCAAGTCCAGAAGCTTCAATCCAGCAAAAATGTCCTTAAAATATCCACTGTTTCTAGTTGTGCATTCACGTAACTCCCCCCTGTAAACAAATCTGTCAGCCTCTCCATTGCCACGTAGTCACACTGCACCAACCCAATTTATTTTTGCAAGGCCTCTTTTCTCCCACCTTAGTCCTTGCCTGGGCAGGTTATAAAGAGCATGTGTCATCCTTATGGAGAAAGCAGCGGAATGATCTTCCTACCTCCCCTCCTTCCTGAAATTGCGCTGGCTGCAATCCTCTTCCCCCCAACCCCTCCTTCACCAACGCTGTTCAGTGCGGAGGCCTCTTTGGAAATACATCAAATGTCCTGTCATCCTGGAACGGCTCCCCTGATATTTACTGGAAGATGAGCAATATATTTATGATGTGCCAGGCGCACCTTGTTCGCAATTAGGCATTATCACAATAGACTTTTAGGCCGTAACCTGGAAGATGAGTGGTTTTCATTCGGCCTGTACATTATTTTTCTGAACAGCTGGCACAAGGCAGGAGAGAACGGCAGCGCTCGGCTGGATTTCTGTGCCTTGTGATTTTCTTCTCAAAACGTGTTCTTCCACAGAGACATAGGGCTGGATCCAGGCTAAATTTTCTGCTAATGGTGGGCTGGGATAATCTCTGCCAGCTCCCCCTTCATGCTGTGGAGCCCTGATTTGCCTCTCATGTTGTTCCTGAGGGTTCCTGTCCCCCAAAAGCAGCATTTCAGGGAGATCAGTCAGCTGCAACAGAAGGCGGGGGAGGCAGAAACAGAAGGGGTGGGGATGGCGGAAATGCCTGGCATGAATGGAATACTTTGTCTGGGTCCAACCCAGAACGGTTTCAACCCAGAACGGTTTTCTATCAGAACAATTTTTGCCTTTCATTTGAAAGTGGGGCCATTTCCACACAGCTGTTCACACCTGCTCCATTTTCTTTTCACCCCTTCTTTGTTGGAAGGTGTTGAACTGGAACGCCCACCCGAAATGTTTAATTGAGATCATGCAAATCCACAAAGCAACCTGAGATGACACCAAGCTTTAGTACAGCAAATCAGGTGAATCAACACAGTGACATCATCTTGAGCTGCCACAGTGACATCATCATGAGCTGCCACCATTAGTGTCATCCTGTTGGCCAACAAGATGGCGTTGATAGTGGTTGACAGGCTGCTCATGATGATGTTACCGCGGCTGCCCAATTGTGTGTGTGTAAAGTGCCGCTCAGTCGCAGACGACTTACGGCGACCCCAGCAAGGGGCTTTCAAGTCAAGTGAGAAGCAGAGATGATTGGCCATTGCCTTCCTCTGCAGAGCCTTCCTTGGTGGCTCCTATCTAAGACTTATGGTGATCCCAGCAAGGGGCTTTCAAGGCAAGCAAGAAGCTGAGGTGATTGGCCATGGCCTTCCTCTGCAGAGCCTTCCTTGGTGGCTCCTATCTAAGACTTACGGCGACCCCAGCAAGGGGCTTTCAAGTCAAGTGAGAAGCAGAGATGATTGGCCATTGCCTTCCTCTGCAGAGCCTTCCTTGGTGGCTCCTATCTAAGACTTATGGTGATCCCAGCAAGGGGCTTTCAAGGCAAGTGAGAAGCAGAGATGGTTGGCCATTGCCTTTCTCTGCAGAGTCTTCCTTGGTGGTCTCCCTTTCATGTACTGACCCTGCTTGGCTTCCGAGATCTGACAAGACCGAGCTATACCATGCCACCTTTCCTCCCACTGCTCACTTAACAGCGTTAATAAAAATTAGTTAACCTTTTCAAGAGGATGATTTCAAATAGCCTTAAATGTTTCCCATTTTCAGGGTAAGAGGAAACGGAACAAAAGTGTGCCGTTCTGGAACACCCCCCCATACAAAGCCCTCCCCCCCTCACCAAGTGTCAGTGAGGGTGGAAATGAGAGAAACAACACCAACGGGCCCCTTCCACAAGACCACCTTTAATAGCACTGTTGAGAATGAGGAAGCAGGTTAGGGCAGAAAGGCAGTCGAACTCAGCCTCCCCACCTCCAGTCCTGAAACACACATCGTATTACACGCTGACCTGAACACAACAGTAGCTGTGGCTGAATGTGTGCCAATGGGGCAGGTGTTTGTGTGTGTAGGTGTGTCCAGGGGGGGGGGGAGCTACTCCTGGTGGCAGATGAGGGCAAGCTGATTCGTTGGGCCCTGCTCAGCTTAGTTACCCATGGCCGAACCCACCCAAAGCGTGAGCTCTGCGGCCCCGTCATGGATTTTAGACGAAAATCAGAGGGAATGGCCGTCCATGAAGCAGGCTCTCTGATCCCTCCCCGTTAGTCTAACTTGGTCTGTGGAGTTTTGAAGTTATGGTGAACTCGGGGGGGGGGGGGGCTCCTGGGCCGGGGCCTCCTTTTGCTTCAGAGTGGGGGAAAAAAAACCAAAACAGCTTTCAGACAGAGACGTGGCTTGTAAAGAAAAAAGAGGGAGATATTGCCATCAAAAGGATTGGCATGCAGGCTTCTTCTGTACAGTTGGCTGGCAGTCTAGGAAACGGCGGCTCCTCAGTCGTCCGGTCCGTACAGTTCAAATACCGGGATGCGGCCTCTGCCGGTGGAGACAACCCCACCCCTTCCCGCCCTCTCCTCCTCCTCCTCCCATCTCCACGTGGACAGGGGTGATGCAGTCGAGTCCAAGGCATCTCTTGCTGGATTTTGGCAAAAAAAAGAGAAAGAGAAGAGTTGGATGCATAGCGAATTCCTCAGCCATTTCCCCACCCCGTGCGGCGAACCTGCGCGCTGTTCCCTGGCTCTTGGGGAGAGAGTTCCTGCCATCCGGCCATGCGTGGGGCCCCGGGGAGGGTGTCGTCAGCACGCAACCCTCCCTAACGTGCCAAGTGTCGTCTGCAGGGGGACTGTCACAGTGTGGCTGATGGGGTCCGAGTGGTTTGGCAAAGGATCGCACGTGCTCTGCAGGGGAAGGGGAGAGACGGAGAGAAAGGTGGAGTAGCGCAGGGCATGATTAGGGTTGCCAACCTCCAGGTAGCACCTGGAGATCTCCCACTATTACAATTGATCTCCAGATGACTAAGATCAGTTCGCCTGGACAAAATGGCTGCTCTGGAGGATGGATTTTATAGCATTATATCCTGCTGAGGTCCCTCCCCTCCCTAAACCCTCCCCTCCACAGGCTCCACCCCCCAAATCCTCAGGTATTTCCCAACTGCATGAATTCAAAATCTGAACATGTACTTATACATGTACTTTTCAAATTCTGAATCTTGGAACTCCAGATCTGCATTGCAGATAGGGATGTGCATTCGGTTCAGACAAACTGGAAAAAACCGCATCCGGCATTATTTGGGCCTGCCCGAATGGATGTCGTAGGGAATCCCTTTGCTGGGCAAGGGGAAGGCAAGGAGAGGCATTTAAATACCTCCCCACTCCCCACTCCTTCCAGGGCAGGGCCCTCCCTGGCCCATCCGCCTTCAAGGGGGGATTATTATACTTTACGGGGACAGTCCCCATAGGGTATAATTGAGCCAAATAATTCCGCTAGTCTGATATTTCAGGAATATCGGTAAATACCGAAAGTTTTCAGGCTTGGTAGATCTGAACCTGAAAAATTCCGATTTTTTTTTTCGTGCACACCCCTAGTTGCAGATTTCAGGAATAACTTTAGAAACCAGAACCAAAATCTGAATACCGATTGTAGGTTATACGTTTGTGTTGTTTGCTTTATACAAAGATAATCTCAGTGCCAAAACGCACATTTAGGCAGCAGTGTGTGAACATTGGACAAGATCCAATCAGAGTTAAAGTGCTTAAATCCTAATTGATTTTAATGGGGGGGATTAAGCACTTAGCGTTAATCTCTTTCACGGAAATCAATGGGACTTCAAAGTGTTTAACTTCACAGGATTGTAATCTTATTTTTTAAATGGAAGTCATGACATTTTCCTCTCGAAACAATCGCATTTTGCACTCCGAACCACTGCATTTGGAACGGTGCATTTTCGGGTGGTGGTGGTGGTGGTTTCAGTTCTGAAAAGCAAATTCCTTTTCAGTTTCTAACTCTGACAGTTTGAATAGGATAATTTGTTCAACCTGAAGTTCAGGAAAATTGGCTATAAAAATATGCCTGGCATGTTATTTCCGTGGGAGAGATTTAAGCACCTACTTCACTCTCCACGGAAATCAATGAGATTTTAGAAATGCATAATGTTGGCTGGATCATGCCCATCTTATACATTATCTCCCAGAGCCAATTCAAATGTTATAAAGTTCTTGCAGCCATCTTGACGGCTTTCTGTCAGATTGTGTATCTGGAGTTCTTCACGAGGACCTCAGTTCTCAGTACGGTTGCCAACCTCCAGGTGGTGGCTGGAGACCAGTTCACCTGCAGAAAATGGCTGCTTTGGAAGGTGGACTCTGTGGCATTATAACCCACCAAAGTCCCTCCCCTCCTCAAACCCCCACCCCAAAAATCTCCAGGTATTTCCCAACCCACAGCTGGCAACCTAGTTTTCAGGCATGCTGAGGCCCGATTTGGATCAGGACTGGAATGTGTGAGGAGACGGAACTTAATCTTCTCTCCCCCACCCTTTTTTGGAAAGCAGTGCCCCTAATTACAGGTGGGGAACATACATGTGCACACTTTCTCCGTGTGTAGGCACACTGTCGATAAGCTGGCAGCTGTGCATGGCTCTGTGCTCATGTGCTTCTCTGGGCACTGACTGAATACACAGAGGGGTCATGCGCTCAGGGCTCTGGAGACCGCCTGATCCAATCTGTCTTTTGTCACAGTGTCCCACGAAAGGTATAATCTACCTTCATGATTACACATCAGATGTAACTACCGTTTCACTCAACAAAGGATCCAGAATTCCTGAAAGGTTTTTCTCCTTCTGCAATTCTCGCGAACAGCAAATACGTTTTAAAAATCTCATCTGACCCCCAAAGGCATCATTTGCTTGATTAACAGCAAAGTGGCACAATTGACTTCTTTCCACATTTCCAGAGGGAGAGCTTCCGTCCACCGGCCCAGCATGCTTCTGCGAACCACAGTTCTTTTACACAAAGCTCATTTCTAAACCCAGTGAAAAGCCTTGCAGCACCTTAAAGAGGCATTCTTTGTGAGCCACCCTGAGCCCACTTGCGGGGCGGGCGGGCTATAAATTAAAATAATAAATAATAAATAAATAAATTCATTTCTTTGGCCTGAGCTTCATCAAATACACGAATTTGGTACCAACTCTGTGAAGGTCAGAAATAAATCCTATGTTATTTACTTTGGGCTTACTCTCAGGAGAGTGGCCTTAGGATTGTGGCCTTAGGCTCCTAAATAGTTCTACCTGAGTCTGTCTGCCCAAAGTTCTCTCTACTACTTCCTCAGGGATGAAATAAATTGCATACAAGACTTAATAGTAACACCTTCTCTCAGAATTATTTGTTTTGAGCCTTTATTCATATTTCTTTTGAACATCTAGCCTAGGGAAATAAGAACATAACATAAGAACCTCAGAGAAGCCATGTTGGATCAGACCAGTAGCTCATCCAGTCCAAGTGGCCCAAACTCAGGGGCCATCAGGAGGTCCACCAGCAGGGCCAGAAGAAGGAAGAGCTTTCTTTTACTCAGAAGCTCACAGTTGGTCTAACAGAGGTGTTGTATTACTGCCCTTGTGAATTCTTTTCTCATGGACCATCGCAACTTTTGAACTGTTATGATAACTTGGGAGAAGTCTGAAAATGTGCACAGCAACATACGAACGTTAGGCTGAGCAAGGAGAGAGCAACTCTGAACATGACCACTAAAAAATTAAAAGGCCTCACATCTATGATTAATGGTCCTCGTTAACGGTGGCCTGCCCAGCATCAACAAGAACCAATGCTTTTCTGTTGGGCACGCCCACTTTGTGGAGCAGGTTCCCTGAGCAGGAGATGGCTGTTTTTGGAGTAAGGATTGCAGGCTTTTTTTTTTATTATTCTATTCAATTTTATTAGGATGTATCAGATTTGTTGTGGCTTTGTTGTTGCTTGACGTTTTAATTATGCATCATAAGCGGCCTTGAGCCTTGGAAAAGGTGGGGTATATTTTAATAACTAAACAAAATAAATGAGGGGCTGGGCTTCAAGGCCAGAAAGCACAGCAGACGAGTGTCCTTGCACCTTTATGTTTCAGAAATTACATGTCACCCCTTTCCTCCCACTTGAACTTGAGACAGCCTCCACAGGGTATCCGGCTGCACCATGTCTGGGTATCTACCCCTGGACTCAAACCCAGAACCTTTTCAAGGTGTCAGGGCTCAACCCTGAAAGGAATGAAGTGAAAGGAAAGAAGAGTGCTCCCAAGCATGCGCAAACTGCCTTTCCTTTGGCAGGGCAGAGGGTACAGGTCCCCAAACCACATTGAGCCCCTGGGTCTTTCCCTCATCTTGCAGGGCAACGCACCAATATGGCTTGCGCCTGCTTCTGCTCTTGCATTCTCTCATGCTAAGGCCCCGACGCCAGACTAGAGTAGTGTGGGGTAGAATACTTACCACGTTCTCATCATGGCTTCCTTCCTCCTCCTCCTGGCCAAGAAGGTCTAACAATTTCTCCTTGATCAACTGCAAGAGACGGGAGACAGGCTTATGCTCTTGGTCCCAACAGAACTTTGGTACAGAACATCAATATCGGAACCCAAGGGAAACAGGCACTGACTTCGAATCAGGCTCACTATCTGTCCGGCATTTTCTAGTTCATGGAAAGACCAACACGATACAAGCCCTCTCTTCCCCATCTTCTTCCACCCCACTAGGGTTGTCAGGTCCTCCTTGGCCACCGGTGGGGTGGGGGGTAGGGATGCCAGCTCCAGGTTGGGATACTCCTGGAGATTCGGGGGTGGAACCTGGGGAGGGCAGGGACCTCAGTGGGGTACAATGCCACAGAGTCAGCCCTCCAAAGCATCCACTTTCTCCAGAAGAATTGATCTTTGTAGCCTGGAGATGAGCTGCAATTCCAGGGAGTCTCCAGGTCTCCATCCCATCCATTATCTTGGGCTCTGAAATGTTGCCCACACACATTCAAGCCCATCTCTGCCAGCCATAAGCCCTGGAAAGGGGGCTGGGGTGTCATTCATGCTGAGCTGAAAAAGACGGCCATCTTGTCAAGTGCTGAGGGTCCCCATGCCTTGAGGCTGGTGCTCAGCCCTGCCTGGAGAGTCCCTGTCTGGCCTCCTTGACAGAAAACAGACCAGGAGAGGGGACTTCCAAAATGGCTGATGGCATTTGCTGTTTTATTTTGGTTTCAACTGAAAATATTTTTAACCATTCCCATAAGCCTCCTGGATCCATGAGGAAAGGTGGTAGAGAAATGTTTTAATAGACAATAAGAAATTTGGAGTGGTCGCCACAGACGGGAGTTGGGAGCCCTTCCACTGAATCTGGGAATGGCCGTCTGAGGAGGATGATCAGTGTCCATATTAACTTCATTGCCCGATGCTGTCTATATGGCCAACCTGGCAATCCCTTTGCATAGAACAGAACTGGCATAAGAACCCAAACTAAGGTACAGTATGAAGCGAAGGGAAATGTCTTTCAGTGTTTAGAAAGGACAAAATGGTGGGCAGAGAGGAGAAGACTTCCTTTTGGAAGGACCTGATCTACAAGTCGTTCTTCATATACAGGTAGGCTCGCCAGCTCCGGCTTGGGAAGTGGCTGGAGATTTTGGAGGTGGAGCCTGAGGAGGGTGGAATGTGGGGAAGGGAGGGGCTTCAATGAGCTATCTGTGGCCTGGAGATCAGTTGTTATCCTGGGAGATCTCCTCCCACCACCTGGAGGTTGGCAACAGTATATACAGGAACAAATGACTCTGGCAACAGATGCACTTGCCCTCGAATTCCGGCTGGCGAACAACCTCCAACTAACGTCACGTTTGTCTTTTCAGTCAAGATCGAGTCTAGACTCGCTTGGGGGGGGGGGGGCTTTTGGAGCTACCAAACTGTGGTCAGGCAGACCCCTCGGCTATCAGGGTGGACGTGAGGGAAAAACTGTGGTCCTTGAAAGCGAGAACGTAGCTATGAGGTGGGTGTGGGCTTGCGGCCTGATGGTTCCGCTTGATGCAAAGTTTCGAAACTCTTGCAAGCCTGAAGGCAGTCCTGACATTTAAACAGCACTGTTCAGAATAAACAGAACTGAAGTGACTCAAAGCCTGCAAGGGTCACTGGAAGAGGTAGGAGGTAGGAAAAGGCCTGTAATGGCAACCAGTATGTGTTTTATTACTTATAGTAAAGTCCAGGGCTTTTTTTCTGGAGGAATGTGCCGGAACGGAGTTCTGGAAACTCGTCAACAAATTCTTTTAAAATCATTTTAAACTTCATGAGTTTGCAGTATACAGATTGAAAACTTCATTTCCCTCCTGAGAGTTCTGGCACCTGTTACTCCACACCCTGCTTTTGTTCCCAGTGAGGACTCAAAGCAGCTTACATACATCGTCCCCCACTCCCCCATTTCATCCTCACAACAGCCCGGTTATATAGTGGCCCAAGGTCACCCAGCACACTTCTCGTCAGAGTGGGGATTTGAACCTGGGTCTTCCCAAATCTCAGTCCAAAACTATAGCCACAGAAACAATCAAAAACTAGGGAGACAAATTGGCTTGTGTAAGTAGAGGGTGCCTGGGGACTGAGGTGACATGAAAGGAGTGGGTACAGAGATCTGTATTATTATAATTATTCCTGACTTCCTTCCTCTCCTCACTTTCTCTCCTCCGCCAGCAGAGTGGCTGGCTGCTAACAGGAGGGGGCCAGTATGAGAAGGGCCAAGCGCACGCTCTCCTCCTCCTGCAGTGCCTTGCTGACCCCAGACGAGGACGGGCCGACACTTACCTCATAGATATAGTCAAATATTTCCAGAATGGTGAGGATGCTAGCACCAATAAAAAGGCCCATCTGACCTCCGATATCACCTGAGAGAGAAGAGAAGAGCACTGTGACGGACCGATTTTTGTAACCATGCAAATGCCACTGATGTAATTGCTAGAGTGTGATGTATAGCAAACAGCCTCCGATCCCTCTAGGGCAGGGGTAGCCTATGAACACCTTTCCTGGATCCCGCCAAGTTCTTTTGGGAAGTGGGAGGGGCTAGGTGGGCATCTGCCCAGTGGGGCAGCTGATTGGCTGTGACGGTTCAAAGGCATCCTGTTGAGCAGAGCTTCTGCCTGGAATGTCGAAGGGTTACTATTACAGTTATATATAATCTTGCTCCCCGGCATTGTGTGGTTGGCTCCGCCTCCTGCCGCAGCCATTTTTATTGGCTCCGCCTCCCATGGCAGCCATTTTGTGCTTGCGCCCACCACCCTGTGTCAGGATTCCAAAGGTGCCCACAGGCTCAAAAAGGTTGGGGACCCCCACTCTAGGGAATAAGCAAGGACTTCAGAAGCTCTGTTTCCACTGGCTCATGGAATATGTTTCAGACCAATGCACGTCTTCAGACTCGGGGGTGGGGAAAGAAGAACAACTGTCCATTCTATCCACCAAAACCAGTCACAGCTCACTGTCCAGTGGTCTCCATCCTTCACCAGCATCTCCTATGGTAAGGGACTTTGGGGACTGAACCAGAAGTATCGTGGTCATAGGTTGCATCCCAGCAGTTAAAATACTCTTTCTTTTTAGAAAGCTTGCAATATTTGCCTTAGTTTGTTCTCTGGATCTGGAGGAATACTCCTTCCTCTCCACAGCATTTAGAAAACCTGAAATCAAGAGCTAGTGTGTGTGTGTGTGGGTACACGTTGCAAGTACGCTGAAGACCTGGGTTCAAATTCCCATTCACAGCATTGTTAGGAGGCTAAAACCCTGTCAGTGTTCTGAACGTCTTGGAAGAAGACCAAGATACAAAAAGAATCAACAGTAAACTAGCTGATCTGAAACCCAAATCCTGACATTAAATAATAACAACACTTAGCATTTTTATAGCATGCTCAAAGCACTTCATTATTGCAATAACCTTTGCAATCGCTCTCTATAGCAGATTGTTATTATTTTCAGTACGCTGCCTTCTGGGTGGGTGGGAGTGGGTAGGGAGGGGCCGAGACTGAGATGCTTGCCAATTTAAGGGCAAATTCACTCGTTACAAAGACGTGTCCTGGAGTTCTGTGCCTCCGATGTGGTTGCAGGCCCGATCAATGCTCCCTCTAAGCTGTGGAGTCTTGTGAGCAAAAATTCTACTTTGTGAGCTACTGGCATTAAAGCTGTGAGCGAGCAATTTGGCTGCTGCATAAATTAGTTTGCCATGGAGCCATTGTTCCTGAGTGAAGACAAAAATGTGTGAGCTGGAGGCTAAAAAACCTGTGAGCTAGCTCACACTAACTCAGCTTAGAGGGAACACTGGGCCCAATTCACATTGGTGCTGTGGTGCATGGTGAGAAGGTCTTTAAGTCTCTTCTCCCCTCCCAGCATTGTTTTCCTGTTGATGAATAAGACTGATATTCTGTTTTGTGGATTTATGTTTGCTGCTACACCCACACAATGGACTGTGCACACACACACTTAGGCTCAGAGAGCTGCACAAGTCACCTGTTGTGATGTTACACATAGAAGGTGCCTGCATAAGCCTTACACATGAATGAGGTTTCAGTTACACAGCTACCAGCCTGGTGAAGGAAGCACACATCTCCATTGTTCTCAGCAAAACAGCAACTTGAGAAGAACCAGCCCCCATTGTTGAAGTGTTGGCAGTCACGTATTCTACATTTCTGCTTTATTTCTGAATTGGCTTTTATGACCAGAGGAATGGCCAAGCTTCATCTGCACTTCAAGGGAGCATCCTGAGGCCAAGTTTCACACTTGCCCAGATGCCCTCCTTTGAGTTAGGTCTTAAGTTACAATATTGCCCAACCCTCTAGGTTGCCACCCCTCACTACACACAACCAATAGGATTAGTCTTGGGACGGACTAACAGGTAGGTGGGTCTTCAGGTTGGCCCAGTTGCCACCCACCCAAAGAACCACCTATAAAAGGTAAGGACCAGTCGCCTGGCCCTTGCTAGCCACAATCCCCCCCAATCCCCCCTGTCTGCTTTAACTTCCCTTTTGTCAAGCTTGCTATACCCCAAACCCTTGCCTCTACTTGATCTCTTGGTCTGCAGCCAGGAGACCCACACAAGCTGGCTGGTTCTAGCTGTGTGTTAAACTTCCCTAGAATTCTATTTTCTGCCCCTCCATTCTTCATTGGAATGAACAAGCTTCAGGACAGATAAGTATCAACTGGACCTTGGTAGACACACTGGCAAGAAACCATCTAAATTGCCAATTGCTGTAGATAAAGCAATTCGGCTAACATTCCTGACCTGGAAATCCCCTGGAGAGTTGCTCTTTGCCCTTTGGGGACACTAATGTGTAACAGTACATCTAATTTTCTCCAGATCCCTGGGGCCATTCAGGTCTGGGAAACGGCACAGGGAGAAGGTTTAAACACCTCTCCCCACCTACCATGGCCCTGATCCAGATCTGGTCTGTGCATGTCTGGGAGCCACAGAACTCCTGAACGTGTCTTTGTAACAAGTCTTTGTCTCACCATGCACCATAGTCTCAACCGGAATTGAGCCTGCAAGCACATAGGAGGCATGGAACTCCGGAACGTGTCTTTGTTGGTGTGCCAGCTTTGTGCTGGGAAACAGCTGGAGATTTTGGGGGTGGAGACTGGGGAGGGCGGGGTTTGGGGAGAGGAAGGACCTCAGCAGGGTACAATGCCATAGTCCACCCTCCAAAGCAGCCATTTTCTCCAGGAAGACAGATCAAGAATGGGTAGCCGTGTTAGTCTGTCTGCAGCTGTAGAAAATAGTAAGAGTCCAGTAGCACCTTAAAGAGTACCAAACACTACCAACAATTTTGTAAGTCTTTAAGGTGCTACTGGACTCTTACTATTTTCTCCAGGGGGAACTGATCTTGGTCATCTGGAAATCAATTGTAACAGCAGGAGATCTCCAGGTGCCACTTGGAGGTTGAGGACTTTATGCCCTTGTAATGTGTGAATTGGCCCTAAGGCTACCTAATGAATTTGTGGTTTAGGTTAGAATCACAGAATCACAGAGTTGGAAGGGGCCGTGCAGGCCATCTAGCCCAACCCCCTGCTCAATGACTGCCAGTGAGGGGGAGCTCACCACCTGCCAAGGCAGCCGATTCCACTGTTGCACAACTCTTACTGTCAAAAAGTTTTTCCTAATATCCAGCTGGTACTTCCCGCCCTTAATTTAAACCCATGATTGCGACTCCTATCCTATCCCACATGCAGTAGCTCCTCCTCCTCCTCCTCTGCACCCGTCCACATAATTTTGGAAGTGAGGTCTCCAGAACTGCACACAATACTCAAAGAATGACAAAGCTCACAGATTTATGACCCTATAATGAGCATCTATTTCCACACAAGACATCAAATAATTACTAAAGCATCTCCCCCCCCCCCCCCCTCGCTTTCCCCCAGGGGGGAAAAAAAAATCAAAAGTTTAAAAAAAAAAAAAAAAAAAAGATCAAAACAATGAGATTTTAAAATTTTAAATCAGATTTTTTAAAAAACTGTCAGCTATAACAAGTTTCTGCATTTAAAATAACCTGGTTTGAAAATGAAATCTGAACTTAATGAAAACACATCTCTTCCACACTGAATTTTATAGCCCTGTCATGAACTCATGAAAAGCTGCTTTTCTTTGTAAAGGAAGGCTGGTGAAACCCCACTGTATAGTCCAGCAGTACAGACACTTGTATGATGGGGCTGATACTGGGGGCCAGGGGGAGGGAAGGAGGCATGGTATGGTCCAATCTCATAGGATCTCAGAAGCTAAGCAGGGTCGGTACTCGGAAAGGAGACCACCAAGAAAGGCTCTGTAGAGGAAGGCAATAGCAAACTGCCTCTGCTTCTCACTTGCCTTGAAAGCCCCTTCCTGGGGTCGCCATAACGCTTGGATGGGAGACCACGAAGGAGGACTCTGCAGAGGAAGGCCATGGCCAACTACCTCTGCTTCTCACTTGCCTTGAAAGCCCCCTGCTGGGGTCACCATACGTCTTGGATGGGAGACCACCAAGGAAGGCTCTGCAGAGGAAGGCGATGGCCAACCACTTTTGCTTCTCACTTGCCTTGAAAGCCCCTTGCTGGAGTCACCATAAGTTAGTTGTGACTTGACAACACTACACACTCACGCACGCAAACTGAGGGCCAAAGACCAGGGGTTATTCACGGATCCATCTAGGGGCTTTTTACCCTCTCTCTAGCTGCTCAATAGCCACTTTCAGTCCCTGCTTTTGGCTAAAATTATTTACTTTGGAGGGGATGGGAGCAGAGGAAGGCAGGGCCCATTATAGGATGAAGGTGAACTAAAGCCAGAGGTCATTTCGGGGGGAAACGCGAGGGATCGCCGTTCCCCCAGGTGAGGTGCGGGGGCGGGGCACATGACGAAGCCCCACCCCCTGCTTCCAGCCGCCCCGCTTCCCTTTGCCCGAAAGCACCATCGCCAAGATGGTGGCCCCTCTGCCGCTCCTCGGTCCAGAAGCGTGGAGGCCGCCGCGCCCCGTGCCAAGATGGCCTCTCCCCGGCTCCTCCTCCTCCCCCCTCCGCCCCTTGGCAGCTGCCAGGCTTGTGGCGGGGCTGTCAGGCTGGAGTCGGGCTGCTGCCCACCGCCGCCTCGCCGCTCCCCAAGGCCAGTGCAGGACTTTGCACCCCGGCAGGCAGGCAGGGCCTCGCGCTCTGCTGGGGGGGGC